GGTGAACTATACAGGGGTATACTCTGAATATCTCTGTTGCTTTTGAACGTATATGAAAAGGAGTTGTTAAGTATACAGGGGGGTAATAATGTGAGTTGGACCTTCATTTTTTTTTTAGGTGGAACAACACATTTTTTTATTTATTTTTTTTTCAATACATATGCAACTTTTCATCCTGTGTATCGAAAAATTGAATAATTGAAATCAAAGTTTAAAATTTTAAAAGATAATGTGAGTTGGACCTTCACGTTTTTTTTTAGGTGGAACAACACATTTTTTTTCCATTCATTGAGGCAGTTCGATGTTTTCTATAAAAATTGTTTTTTTTGCCTATAAAATCTTTTTTTTTTTTATAAAATCGATCCGTGTGTAGCGGAAAGTTTATTAGTTTAGGAGACATTTTAATCTCAATTTTGTGAAATTTATCGTACAACGGCGAACAGAAAGTCGAGGTCCTCTTTAGGCAGATAGATTTTCTAAAATCAAAGTCAAAACATTGTAATCAAGCTATTATAAATTTTAATCTTTTTAAATTTTAAACTTTAATTTTTCAACTATTAATTTTTCGATACGCAGGATAAAAAGTTGCATACGTATTAAAAAAATAAATAAATAAATAGCTACGTTTAAAGAAGTAAGCTCTTCTAAATTCTACTAGCTACAAAAGAACTATCAGTGCCATATTATAACTACCTCTAACAACTAAACAATGTTTGTTCACAAAGCTTCTTCGTATTTTCAAAAAATGAAAATGATTAGCCTTTAATACTCCAACTGTCAGAGACACCTACACGTACATGTTTATTGGCTCGGTGAAATAGTAAGCAATTAAAATCGTTGTTGGCAGTTGATACCGTGATATCGTTAGAGGAAGAGGACATCAGCCCAGAGTTAGACGAATCCCGTAAGTTAGTTTTATTACGTAAAACAGGCGATTCAGTTGCTTGATAAATAAATCTCGTTACGTAGAACTTATGCGCGAAACAATACCATGCCCTCTCCCTTCGTCTACCTTCCGAACGCCCGAAATTCAACGTCGAAGAAGAATTCTACCGCCGACCTCGTTTCGACCTCGCGCGAGAACACCGCCAGTAAGACAGCATTTACCCAGAATAGCCAGAATGACACCTTGCGGCAAATGCTTACGAGTAATACGCCATAATTATAATTTCCAGCAGAATGAAAATAGTCGACATATCTCGTGTAATTCGACTTTCGTGTGAAACTAACGTTTGCATGGAACTTTCAGATTTAGGGATGACGACGACGACGACACGGAATTGAAAACGGAGTTTTCTCTAAATAAATCGTAATCGACGACGAGTAATCGCGAAGAGGATGTCAATCAATTCAAGAACGAAACTGTCTATTCCCTTCTCGCGAACGTGTTGTAGATTTCGGGCGAATTAAATTTAAATAAAGCACGCACACGCGTCTCGAATTGCTCGTGCGAAAAGCATGGATAGACAGACCTGGTAGCAAACTAGAAAGAGAAATTTCCTGTGTGTTTAAACATATTTAATGCATGGATCTCGTGATGGTAGATAAGCAAACGGTTCATTGCTATTTGTATGACCGTGTTCCCAACACGGAATGATTGTAGAAATACTCGGTAAATACTCTTAACTGTTTTTCAATTAGGACCACATTTGCTCGATTATACCAGCAAACAACGCGTCCTCGTTTCTGTTGCTTCACCCAATTTTCAGTGTCACGAGAGAGAATGCATTACAACATTTGGCATTGCATCCAAAATCGCATTTAACGTCATTTCAATTCAATTTAGGGCTGTACACCCTCTTTTCTATTTACGCTTATTTGTTTACATGAAAAATGATAGGAGAGATATTGAAGAAATACTTTCAGACAAAATATATATATTTTATGTATATTTTATAACATATAACATATTTTTTATATGTTATAAAGTACATATTATAAAATTTGTTACAAATTTACAAAAAGAAAAAGATCTTGTGTCTATCTAAAATGTATACATCATTTTTTAACAAGTCTGAATATATGCACTCGTACAAATCACATTAAACATTGTTTTTTTTTTTCTCCTATTTTATTTGATTATATGTTAGAATATTTCGAACTGAAGTCTATTTTATTACATATATTTTCATTTCGTAGTTAAATCATTAGTAGATACGTAGCAATTGTATTTATATAGGTAGAGACTTTTCGTTTTAAATGTTTCAATACTTAAAATCGAGACAACTGATTAATTGGGAATGAAAACGGAAATCAAAATGGCGACTTTCTCGGAAGAATTCCGATGGGGAGCCTCCATCTCAAATATTTTGACACGCATCGCGTGAAACGAAACGCTTGTGACAGTGTTGGCACAAAGACGAAAGAGGCGACGTTTCGGGAAGCGATTGCGGGTAGTAAAAGATGCTTTACGTTGCCTCTCGCGCATGCATAATACCGAGAGCGTTGCCTCGTACTTCCGGTATCGTTAATTCGACTCGCGGCAACTCGAAAATTTCCTCCACGTTGGCAGCACTGCCAAGATGTCGAGAAACGCGTGTCTCGCGCTTAGGACCACCCGGGCCGATCGCTTCATTACGTAAATTCGCCGCTATCTACCTTTTTCGCCTTCGCTACTCGTTTCACAAGTATAACGCACACCCATAAAAATTCACTATGGCATGTCACTGAAGCATTTGAACACTCCAATGTATCCAAGCGTCCCGATATTTAGCAAAGTCGTCTTTAACTTGGTTACTCATTAATTTTCTACCTGCACTATTTTTACTTTTTTTTATTTTTATATTTTTTTATTAATATCATATATTATATTTTTATATATTTTTATATTTTTTTATTAATATTATATATTATATTTCTATATATTTTTATATTTTTTTATTAATATTATATATTATATTTCTATATATTTTTATATTTTTTTAATATTATATATTATATTTCTATATATTTTTATATTTTTTTATTAATATTATATATTATATTTATATTAATTATTTAATTATATTCTTTTATTAATATATATTAATATTATATGTTATATTTATATTAATTCTTTAATTATATTTTTTTAATAATAATTTTTATATTAACTAATATATTTCATATAAAGTATTTTCTATATTTTATATTCTATAATCTATTTTCTATATTCTTTGAAGTATATTTTATATTCTATAATCTATTTTCTATATTCTTTGAAGTATATTTTATATTCTATAATCTATTTTCTATATTCTTTGAAGTATATTTTATATTCTATAATCTATTTTCTATATTCTTTGAAGTATATTTTATATTCTATAATCTATTTTCTATATTCTTTGAAGTATATTCTTTTCTTAAAAGTATAAGTCTTTTCTCCCAATTTTCACTATTATCTTAAATTATTATCTTAATATTATCTTAAATATTATTTAAAATATAAACATTAAATATTAAAATTAAATATTATTATCTTAAATATCATTTAAAATAATAACATTCTCGTTTTGCCTCCCGTTCCTTTCCTCCTCCATTCTTTAAATAAAAAAAAGAAGACCGGAGCAATTAATTGACAAGAATTCCGAATTGCAGGTTATCTAAAATTGACCTTTCGAACGAAAATCGCTCGTTAAAAAGAAACGTTCACTGTGTCTGAGAGAGAATTCGATTGCCTTCTTTCTCCGTGTCTTCACGAACTTTCGGAACATCGCCGGAGTACTTCTCTGTGGCCGCGGGATATACGAGCATTGTTGTAACAACACAACGCCGGGAACACGTGGAAACCTATGTTCGATGTCCTCGACGAATAAAGACGCCGTTGCTGAAGAGTCAACACACCCACACGTGCATTGTCGCGCGACGCGGACAATCCTCACGGAACACGATTCGAGGCGCGCTTAAGGAATCTGAGTCCGCATACCGTCAACGTGATAATGAATACAGTGAAACGTGATCTTTGTTGGCTATATATCCCCTATGTACAGCTCTCGGAGCAACGAGAATGTTTGAAATGAATGCCTTAGTGGCGCCTAACTAGCATTTAGCTCGCGCACAATTTCCTCTTGCATAATACTGTCTGAGCAGGAGGAGATTTTAAGTATTCGATTTGCAATTTTGATGTACCAAGGACGCGATAGTCAGTAGTCGGTAATAATCATAGGAAAAAAGACACAAACAGCTATATGCCTGTCTCTGGATAGCTGTTTGGATGCGACGAGGTGATCGTCGACTGTGTTCATTCGTTCTCTTTGACTATCAACGGACGATGTGAATCACCATTCTATCTCCGAATTAAACGAATCGGAGTCGGAGGCTTTGGACGAACGATCGAAAGAAACCGAGAAACTCCACGGTTCCGATCGGTCGTTCGCTGACCTACTGCCAGAGAATTTCGGGGTCGAAATCGTGTCAATGGCCTGTGACGTTGCAACACACGTTCACACTTGAGAATTTTTTCCGTCTGTATTAAAACGTAGCCTAATAGTCCATTCGGTTTCAAAGAAGCTGGTAATTTTCATCATTTCATTTTTGTAAAGTATCTTTCAAAATACGTGTATATATATATATACCTGTGATTGATACAATAGATTGGATAATTTGGAAATGTTTCATAATGACAATACGAAGGAGAAAGAAGAAAAACATTAGGAAATTTACTTTCTGAAATTAAATTCATTTCCCCGTGCTCGACAAATTCCTGAACACTGTAACATGACTCGCTGTGTAGTGAGCATTTTTACAACCTAAATTAGTAAACCGAAAATACTGGCGAAACGATAATCATAATTTTTACGCTTTTTTTTTTTTTTTTTGGCTCTTTTTTCTGAAATAACTTTCTACCATTTAAAAGTGCAAGATCGATTGTCTGAGCATGATTTACGTGTGATGTAAATCAAGCGTCGATCATGTTTTAGTAATGAACTCTTCCCGAAATTAAAAAGCAAAGAATTTATATAATTTATGTCACACGTGTTTGTTGAAAAAAGAAAAATGAAAGAAAGTTTTACTGCACTTACTTGTTCATCACGTCCACAGAGGGAACTTCCCGCCCACGAACCATGATTTTTTCATACTTGATGCCGGAGTTTGTGAATTCCTGTAACAAAATGATTAACAAAAATAAACGAAAAAATTGTTAATCACGTGTGAAATTATACGTATAAAATCCCCTCGAAGTGTTGTTTAAACAAATTCTACAGAGTGTAATTAAAACTCAAGAATTTGTTTCTTCTAGTATTAATACCCATAATGAATACATACAGTTATTTTAGGAAACCGCGAGAGAACGACAATCACTTTTATGGTAAAGTAGTCCAGCTATTTATGTTTGATTGGTGAACGAACATATCACAATCTCATAAAACTAAAATAAAAAAGCAGGAGCTGTTTTACCAAAGTGTCTTTTCACTCTTCTACATTTACAAAACGATTACAAGCTGCAATTCTAACACTAAAATTACTTACATTTACTACAAATGACATAGAATCTTAATTTAATTCCTTTTCCAATTTTGACACGCGATTGTTTAATTTCCCATCAGCGAATCTTTTCCTTTCAAACGACGTCATACACGGGTTAAGAATTAAGGATGCCAGAGAGAAGAGTATCATTATTTATAATGCGCTCTAATTAGAAGACACCAAACCGTCTCTGCTTTATAATTACCGACGCCAAAAGCGTCGTGGCGTTTCAAAAATATTTTCCATCACAGACGCGTAGCAACTGTCCACGACAGAGGGAAAGGAAAAAGGGAAAGAGAGACTTATTAACATAATTGATCGATCTTAAGTTGTGACAGGGATGACCTAAAAAAAGAAAATACAGCCCCGCTGTGCGTGAACACAGATCCAGTTCGGTGATCGAGATGTCAGCTATTTCAAAAATCCAATAATAAGTTCATTAGTCCTTGATCCTTGGTACAAATTGGCCCCGGACTTCTCGCTCGACTAATTTTCAGTTTTAAAATGCCGAATAAAGCCCGGACGGACAGGGCTGACACAGATGTAACGTTAGTCTCTCGTGAAAAGGAACAAAGGGTAAAGCGAAAAAGAAAAAGAAAGAGAAAAGGAAAGCAAAGGCGTGCGAACAAACGAGCCAAAGAAAGAAAGAAAGAAAGAAAGAAAGAGAAATGACAGATAGACAAAGACAAGACGAGACCGTGTAAAGGAGCCACGTTCTCGAATATCTGCTCGATCAAGGAACGCAGTTAAGGATCGCTGGCGCAGGGAAGAAAGGAAAGGAATTTTTCGGTTTCAATTACCAAAGGATAAGAATACACGGATCGATGAACGTGATGTAGCATTTTTTATGGACGTCGTTGCTACGTGTATGCGAATTTACGTCTACACGGCTTACCTTTTCGTCATAGTAACGATCCGTATTTGTCAAATCGATGATGCACTTGATGCGCGGAAACGCTTGAACCAGCACCGAAACTGTAAACCTGCAACGACAAATACGCGATTGTGACATAATGTACCATGTTATATAAGCGTTACACACATTTCTGTGAAATATGGCGCCCTGTTTATACTGATTACTGTTAACCTCTTGCGCTGGCAACTGATTGCGGACCATAACGAGTGACCGAACCGTATACAGCAATTCGTCGCTCTATTTTTGAACTGATCGTTATATCACTGGATAGAAATTATTGAGAAGTAATAAAGTTATTATTTGTTTTGCCTGGGTTATACTTAAATATACTTAAAACTGAGGGAATATTGCAACTTTTGGGACAAAAAATTCTAGACGTGCGTGGCATTGAAAGGTTAAAACCACTTGTGCTTGCAACTGATTGAGGACCATAACGAGTGACCAACCAAACCACCGTACACAAGAATTCGTCGCTTTTTTCTTGAACTCATCGGTACGATATCGCTGGATAGAAATTATTGTGAATAAATTTATTATTTGATTTGCCTATTTTATTTTACTTAAATATACTTAAAACAGAATATTGCAATTTTGGGACAAAAAATTCTCGACGTGCGTGGCATTCCAGCGCAAGTGGTTAACCAACTGATTGCGGACCATAACGAGTGACCAAACCACCGTACACAAGAATTCGTCGCTTTTTTTTTTGAACTCATCGGTACGATATCGCTGGATAGAAATTATTGAGAATAAATTTATTATTTGTTTTGCCTATTTTATTTTACTTAAATATACTTAAAACAGAATATTGCAATTTTGGGACAAAAAATTCTCGACGTGCGTGGCATTCCAGCGCAAGTGGTTAACCAACTGATTGCGGACCATAACGAGTGACCAAACCGTATACAAGAATTCGTCGCTTTCTTTTTGAACTCGTCGGTACGATATCACTGGATAGAAATTATTGTCATGTAGTAATAAATTTATTTATTTGTTTTATCTTACTTAAAACTGAGAAAATATTGCAATTTTTGAGGCAAAAAAATTCTCGACGTGCGTGGCACGTCGTTCCAGCGCAAGAGGTTAAACTTCTGTCGGTATGGTAGATGGATGGACAACTTCATCCCATTCCACAAAGAAGACAAAAAGGGAAAAGAAAAGAAAAAATCCGCCGACTGTCACGATGACCGGCGTTACGAGAGAAATGTTTTTCAAGAGCGCGATCCGGACAACGCGATGATATATTAGGGGAACAAAGAATCTGGGGTCCGAGGCAAAAGGGCCGGAATTAAGCGGGGGTGTCGGTCGGAATAGTTTCACCATCCCTTTCGATATATCAAACCCTCCGAAGCCCTCGTACGCATGGACGATGACACGGGGGCCGCTTGTCTCGACTAAGTATTTCTCATAAATAAACAACCGCGCCGCTCAGTGTTCGAAAGTTATTAAAAAAAAAAAAAAAACCCGGAATTTATTCGAGGGCTAATCGATTTAGAAGCCATTAACGAACACCTTACGCGCCTCGACAGATTTATACCGGGGGATTGGCCCACGCCGATGATGAATTCAGCTTTTCGCTCGCAACATGCAACATGAATCTTTGCATATGTTTAATGTGCAGCCAACTTACCGTTTTTTCGGCTCTAAATTGTTGCTTACCGCCTGAAACAAAAAAAAGAAAAGGATGCGTGCAATTAATAATCGTCATCGATGGTGGCGTTAGAGTTGTATCTTCGCGCAACAAATATAAATGGAAAATTGTCGATAATTTAAACTTCGATGATGTGAAAGATCAACCTGGTCTCATTCTACAGTCGTGAGTTCGTTTTTTTTTTTTTTTTTTTAAATGATTTTATTCACGTAGTGGGTGAGAATACTACTCTCGAAAATCGTAAAAATTCAAATGCGCGTAGAAGCGTTAAAAAATTTTTTTCCCTTAAAACTCGCTGTACCATTTTATTGAACTTCGAACATTAGAACAAATGACGAAATGTTAGGATTTCTTAAAAAATTCTTAGATTTTTTTTCTGACATTAATAAAATGAAAAAAAAAAAAAATAACAAAGTGAAATTAATAAAGTGAAAAAAAAAAATCGTACAAAAAGTTTTAAGAGCTCGTTGTAAAGGGGAGAGTTCAATCTTCAAAATGACCGGTTGAATCTAATTAAAAAAAGAATCTTGTAACGTTTCTACACGTGTTTGAACCTTGACAATTTTCGAGAAATCTATCCCCTAAACTTATTCTCAAAAGTTGATTGTCAAAGTAGAGACTTCGAAACGATATCAAAAAAAAAAAAAATAAATCGATCGTTGCATGATTTTCGTTCTTTCTCCGCGAAATTGTCTCGGACTGAATTATCAATCATTTTTCACTGTCATCGTGTGTTCTTCGCTGTATCTTGTTGAGAGGGATCGTGATTATACACGGAAAAATAGACGACGCGAAACGACAAAATAAGACCGGCAAACTAAAAAAAAAAAAATGGAAAGTAAACACACGGCTCGCGTCTATCTCGCATAGTTTGGATAGCGTGGATAACCCAAGAGCCAAGAGCGCGTAAATTGAAAGTTTTGGCTGGGCCCGGGCCGTGGCATCGCACTCGCTATGGGTGGGCTTAATGCTAATTACGGGTTTAGACTCCGCGATCCAATTGACTGGGCGGAGAGATCGTATCTACGGATGAGTGCGGAATGAGTATCGGTCGCATTAATAACCGGCTTTCGTATCCAGGCATAATAATCCATTGTTAACTAACTGTGAAACCTATTACCGTCGTAGTTAACTCCACGTTTCACTTATTGACGCGCAAGTGATCCTATCGTAGCCTTTGCATCGACAAGTGTCACGTATATAAACCCTTGCTTTACAATTTTGAACGTTTAACACGTTCGAGGAACAGCCGTGCATTTTTTATGTTGTATAAAATTATATCTTTTCGGCGTGTATGTTTTATATTGATGGAAATCAAGTGTATTTATCAGAATAATGAAGTGTCGGCCTGCGGGGACTGACACACCGCCTCGAACGTGTTAATCGGATATTAAATAAAATGTTAAACATGTTGTCGAAACAATTTCGTGAAACAAGGTCGGATTACTTTTCGAAGCGTTTACTTTTTCAATTCGATTAATTTTAAGGTGTTTTTACATCCTGAAATTGAAGACACTCCTCTTCTCGAAAATACTATGTAAAAATATTGAAAAATGTTTGTTATGACGAAAAGTTTACGTTTGAAGACTGAAGCTTTCTGTTTACTCGCGATTCGTTTTTTTTTTTTTTTTTTTTTAAGCATTTCATTGAACGAATATAACGACGATAAAACGTTGCGATTTCTTGAATTTTCCGTCGTTTAAGTTTAATATTCAAAGTTCGATAAAACGATGAAAAAAGAAACGTCAAGTTTTAGGGCGTCATTGCGAAGAGAAGACTTCAATCTTCAAATTTATTGTAAATTCAATTCGTGAAAAAAAATTGTTCAATATTCTTACGAACAATTTATAGCATTTTCGCGAAGAAAATGAAAAGAGTGAATCGCCTGCTAGACGATTTAACGAAATTACATAAGTTTAAACACCACAATATCTTAATATTAATAAAAGTGATTGTACACGATTCACATTTATCCATCATCAGTTCGAGGAATCAATCGAGTTAGAAATTCAAATGTTTCATGTTTCCACAAGATTGCAAATGTTTCCTTCAAATTAACAAAGATTTTAATTTCGTTAAAGAAGAGAGTTCGTGATTATTCCACGGGACGAAGCAGAGTGACGCGAAAGGTAGCAAACAGGTTGAGAGAAAATAGAAAGATAAGAGCGCGCGCGCGAGAGAGAGAGAGAGAGAGGGAGAGAGGAGGAGGAATTGAAGCTGTGGAGCCCATCTGCGATATTTACTAACCCTGACCGCGTCTTTGAAGGGGTAGTTTATTTTTCGCGCGGTACGGCCGAGCTTCCTCTCCTGGTTGAAAGCAGGGTCGCGGTCTCTCTGCTGATTCCGCCATTCAATTTCACGATCCTTAGTCTAATATACGACCGCGACTAAATCAGGATTATCGACCGACGAGCTGCGCCTCCATTGTAAGCCTTCGCGGCGGTCCGCGCGAGCTCGTGCGGCACACTCGCTCCTCTTCGCGAATACTTCCCTTTCCTTTTTAATCTTCTCTATTCGCTACTTCAACTTACTTAGCTCCCCTTGGCTGTCCACAATCGCAGAATGTCGAAATGCACGTGTCGATGCATACGAGCGAGAGGACAAGCGGAATACGCGCGATTGCGTATCGTGGAAATTTATTTCCATTCGTTTCAATTTATTGCCGAAGTTTCCATCAATTTATTGTAGAAATTTGTTCCAATTCGGGGCCTAATACGTGCATTTCGATTTTGTACATTATCGGATCGTTGCTGCTTTCTGTCATTTAGCAGCCAATTCGTCTATCCGCGCCGGATCAACGGCGAATTTCTTTATAATTTTAGATTATTTTAATTATAATTATCTCAATTAATCGTAATGAAATTTTAAATGGAATAATTAATCGATTATCTGTTTCTAATAATCGAAATTGATTTGTATTTAAATAATTACTTATACAACAATTAATTTCATAATTATCAAATTCTGGATATTCATAAGATCACTATCATTGATGACCAATTGCTTTAATTGAAAAATTAAATATTTCATCAATAAAATATAAAATTTTTAATGAAGGATAACAAATTATTAATGAAATAAATATTGATATTAAAGTTCAAATAATTTCAATCGTATGATTTTTTAATAATGATAAATTTAAAAATTTATTTAATATTAAATCTATAATAAAATATAACGTCAATGAAATAATTATAATAATAAATAACATAATAAAATTATGAAATGAAATTAAATTATCTGAATATAAAGAATTTGAATCTTGAAATGTAATTACATTTCATGTTGAAATTTAGATTTTTTTTTTTCTCCAACACGCGCCTGGTTTCGAAGTAAATAGGTACTTGGAAGAACAGAAAATAGGCATTTGGAATTGATATTTTCAAGACAGACGTTTTACACTCATCGAAATAACGACTCGTCTGTAGTCGTGTCAAGAACATAACTGTACAGGAAAGAAAGAAAGAAAGAAAGAAAGAAAGAAAGAAAGAAAAGTTTGTTCGTGGCTATCATAGATGAATTCTACACCTTCGATTTGATGGAAATACATGCAAAGAATCTGTCGCAAGATTGACCTTGACCTTGAGTTTCAAAAAGGTCAAAAGTTTGTATGCATTGTATTCTACTCGTCACGAAGGTAAAATTTTTCCAAAGAACCATAGATCGCAACTTGATAGTTCTCTTGAAAAATGGCAAAAAAGTTTCTCCATCTGCGTCCTAACAGCGACTTTATGTTTCCGGACGCGTGGACGTCTATATTACGTAATGTTTTTACATTTCGAATAATGTTAACAGTTAGTTGTATCATTTGATTATTCCGACTCACACTGATGCTACAACTGTGATAAATCAAGTGTTTGTGAAACCAGAACCATAAAGTCGCTGTTAGGACGCAGATGAAGAAACTTTTCTGCCATTTTTCAAAAGAACTGTCAAGTTGCGACCTATGGTTCCTTGGAAAAGTTTTACCACCAGTTGATAAATTACAGTAAAATACAATGCAAGAAAAAAAAAATTTAACCTCGAAAGGTCAAGGTCAAGATCAATTTTGCCGCAGGTTCTTTCCAATCGAAGATGTAGAATTTATCTATGACAGCCACGGACAAACTTTTCTTTCCCTGTGCACATTGATTCATTTCTTGATAAAGGAAAGAAAAGGAAAAAAGGAGATTTCTTCGCGACTTCGAGAATTCGTGGACACGCGTTTCGCCATTCTCTGCCCGTAAAAAAATTTCTCACGGCAGTTCCGTTGAAGTTACGCCGCCGCCTCGAGTTTTTGGACGACAGGGCAAGGAGCCTTGGAAGTGTGTTACGGCCCACTCGGCCGAAAAGCATGAAAGCGCACCCCTCATAAATATTCCCAATAAATATCTAGCAATATCTACCGTTGCTTGACGCCTACACGTCGCACGTCTCTCTCACTTTCTTGTTCGAGAGCTCTTGGCTACGTCCGGTCAAATTTATCCACTTGTTGAGACACTTGATAAAGGTAAACGTTCATCATTTACGCATTCTCGTTCTCCGTCGCTGTCAGGACCCAGTGAAATTTATAGCGAACTCCTGTACAGCGTGCATGTTACGTGTACATATAAGCAGGGGATGATTCTTCGCGAAAGGAAAAGAAAATAAGAACAGAGATGTAGAGCAAAATTTTTTGAGTCTTTGAAGCTTCTTTTTTAGTGAAGATTTATCACGTAGACTTTAAAGTTAATTAACTCTGGAACTCGTAAGGTGCGGGTTCTTCAGATAACATTGAATCGATACTATTTCCTTTGAGCAAAAAAACTATTTATTGCACTATATTGTATTATACTATAGTAGCTCTTAGAAGTTTATGTATTAGCTCGAGATTTAAGGTTAATTCTAGACACACAACAGAACAGAATAATTGACAGAAGGTGGTTACACGTGCAAAAATGTAAGAATGTTCGAGAGAATCAACGGCTATTTAAGAATTTACCTAATTTCTAACGAGACATATTCAAAGTTTATTTTTTTTGAAAACGAAGCT